TTCCAGCCTTCAAAGAGTTTATAGTCTAACAGAGGTGCAAAGATGGTAGCCAGATAAATAATTGGTGGGGCAGCTAGGTGGTGCAGTGGATAGAGCACCGGCCCTGGAGTCAGGAGGACCTGAGTTCAAATTCGACCTCAGACACATAACACTTACTAGCTGTGTGATCCTGGGTGTGACCCTGGGCAAGTCACTTAACTCCATTGCCTAGCCAAAAAAAACAACAACAATAACAAAAAACCAAACAAACAGATAAATAATTGGATTTGGGACATGGAAAATATAAATAAGTACTTGATTCTGAAGATGTCAGACTAAGAAGGAAGTTCTGGGTTGTGGTCATTAACTCATCTCAAAGGCCTATTTAGTTTTAGGGGAAAGTTCAGTTGGGGAAACTTGCCTCTGTCCTCACAAAGCATTCAATGACTCACTAACACAGAAGGGAGAGAACTGCAAAATTAGCTGTTGTCTAATTTTGAGACTAGTAATTTTGTCACAACATAAAGTAATTTCAAGAGGGGGAAGGAAATGACTTTTAATGTAAAAAAAATTCCCACAAAAGACATTAATGAAATCTATTTTTAAGCAAGAGAGAGAATGTTAACAACCAGGGAGATCAGAAAAGACCTCCCATGGGAGGTGACCCCCAAGCTCTCCTTTGAAGAAAGCTAAAGGTCCTAGGAGGCAGAAGTGAAGAGAGAATGAGTTCCAGATGTGGGAGACCCATTTGTGTAAAAGATGCTATCTAACTTTTGTAGCTCTCTCTCTTCCTTCTCTCTCTCCCCCTTCTATAATCATGGGCAATGTAGAACCTAGAATAAAAACAGGGACAAGTCGTAGCTCTAGAATGGGAAGGGACCTTAGAAGCCAGCTAGTTCGACAACCTTATATTACAATTGAAGAAACTGAGGTATAGGGAATTTAAGTGATATATTTGTCCAAGGTTACATAAGTAGTAACTATCAGGGGTGATATTTGAACCCAGGTCTCCTAGGCTCTAGAATCCACTGTTCCTCAGAGACTCTCCCACCTATTCTTTTGTCTAAAATTGAATGGGTCTTTGAGCCCTTGGAAATACCTAAGCTTCCCCAATCTTCATGATCACACAGAAGACACAATTGTTCTGTTTTCTTAGAAATAGACTTCAAGGCAAAAAGTAATTCTCCAGCAGCGCTTGCTCAAAGTCAGTTCTCTCCCCTAGGGGGCTTGTCAAGTCAATCCATGACTGTGCACCAGTCCGTGAAATTAACATTTTTTTATTTCTTTAAAGACAAACTCCATGAGTCTAGACTAACTTGACCCTCTGTAATCACTGACGTTTGATGTCATCTCAGGAGAGGTGACAGGGAAAGAGATTTACAGAAGGCATGGATCTCCATGCCAAAGACCAAGTCTTGAATGGCTGTGACTCAGCTTTCTCATAGTCAGTTTCCTAACCATTTTTGGACCCCTTCAACAGTCTGGTGAAACCCAATTTCTTTCAATGCATAACATAAAATATAAAGGAAATCAATTATACTGAAAAACAGCGATCAAAAAATTTAAAAAAAAGCAAGTTTATGGATCCCTTGTGAACCAAAGAATGAGGAGGTGAGATCCAGTGAAAAACTGGCCTAGAAGCAGTTGCTTAGTCATGTTCAACACTTTGTAACCCCATTTGTGATTTTCTTGCCAAAGATACGGGACTTGTTTGCCATTTCCTTCCCTTGCTCATTTTACAGATAAGGAAACTGAGGCAAGCAGGGTCAAGTGACTTGCCCAGGGTCACACAGCTAGTAAGTGTCTGAGGCCAGATTTGAACTCAGAAAGATGAGTTTTCCTGACTCCAGGCCCAGCACTCTAACCACTGAACCACCTAGTTGCTCCCCCATGAATACTTCTTGTGTTCAATTATCCTCCCTCACAAGTCCACATTTTCCCACCTCTGTACCCTTGCTCTCATTATTCCCTGGTCTAGAATGCTCTTCCTGCCCATTTTTAGTGCCCTGACCAAGCCAGCCCCGTCCTTGAATATCTTTTCCCCTACGTATAATCATCTTTATTACCTCAACTCACATAACACCTTAGTTCTACTTCCCCTTAATGCACTCCTCACTGGGTGATATGTATCACAGTTATGCCTGGTTATGTCTCATTTCTTTCTCAGGCTGTGAACTCCACACTGGCCAGTCTATGTCTTATGTAAATTTTGTATCTTCCTTAGGGCCTAGCACAATGTGCTCTGTACACAGTAAGTACTTAATAAATGGTGATTCTATTGTTGGTATTTGTGGTCTTGGCCCCCTGCCAGAGAATAAATATGAAACAGTTAAAGAATCATGAAACTAGCTGGAGAGAGAGATGACTTTGTGTGTGATCCCCAGCCTAGCGACGTTTACAACTGGAATGAGGCGTCAAGACTAACTCATTCAACAATGGCTCAAAATGCAAATCAGTGGATACTTAGCAGATATGTTATCACATGAGTACAAGTACACCCTAAACCCAACAATATTTTCATTTGATAGGCATGTATTAATTAATAGTTAGCATTTAGAGAGCTCTTTAAGGTTTACAGGGTTCTCTCTGTATCAGCAATCATGCCATCCCTGGGAGGTAGGTATTATTATTATTGTTATTATTATTCCCGTTTTACAGATAAGGAAACTGAAGCTGAGAGAGGTTAAGAGACTTACTGAGGGTCACACAGCTAAGCCTCTGTGGCAGGCTTTGAACTCAGGTCTGCCTGACTAAAACTCCAGCCTTCTACCACTATTTCCGAACTTAGTTGCCTCAATAAATACTTGCTTTGTTTGGAACACTGTTTTCAATGCTGAGAATACAAAGACAAAATGGAAAACAGTTTCTGTCCTCAAGGATGTTACTTTTTATTGGGAGAAATAACACAGCAACTGGGGAATCAATACAAAATCTATACTGAGCAAATAGAGTAGTTGGGGGGGGGAAGTATTAACAGGAGAGATAAGGAAAGGTCTCTTTTAAAAAAATTATTTGTTTAATTCTATGTTTAGCATGCATCAAAACCCCAATATTTCCATATAAAAAGTAGAATAGAAAAAGCAGATGATACGTGAGACTATGAGTCTCTATTACACATAGCTTATTTTTTGAAAAGATTATGTAATACATTCAACATAGTACTTTTCAAAGCAGTCTTGCTTGTTTGTCCTTCCTTCTGAACTTCCCCTGTCCTCTTCTAGACATTAAAAAATGCTTCAATGACCCTCTCTTCTTTCTTTTCTTTTTTCTTTTTGACAACACTATCACTAGCTCCCCTCTCCATCCTCCCAAACAAGTAAAAAACCCACCATCCTTCTACTAAATAAACAGTCAAGCAGAACAAATTCCCACACTGGACCATGTTTAAAAATGTGCTTCATTCTACACTGAGACACCATCACCTCTTGGTCCGGAGGTTGGTAGCAAGCTTCATTCTCAGTCTGCTGGAGTCGTGGCTGGCCACTGCCTCAAGCAAAGAAAGGCCTCTTGAAAGCTGACATTATCACCGGGATAGAACAGAGAGAGAAAATTCCATATTCAAGGTATTCAACATGTCCCCTAATGATTCTAACAAGCTGAGGAGGAGGAAGGATTCTAGGTGGGAAAGTGATGGGAGGGACGAGGTTGGTGCTGTAGGATTTCAGAGGGAAGAGAGATCAGGGAGGACTGGAGTAGTCAAGGGAGACTTCATGAAGGAGGCAGGACTTTTTAGGTAGATTTGGGTCAGGCAGAGGGAACAAGTGATGTTTCAGGGGTGAGGTGTGTATATTGACATGATACAGTGACTAGGAAGGAAGCTGAATTGTGGGAACCACCAATGTCTGACATCAGCTACTTAGGCAGGTTCATACATTTAGAGCTGGGAAAGATGTTAGAGGCCAGCTATAGCACTTGACATCTTTTCATTGATGCTCACAACATCCCCATAGGCTTGGTGCCACTATTATCCCCATTTGAAAGATGAGGAAACAGAGGAAAGATGTTAAGTAACTTGCCCATGGCTAGTTAGTGTCTGAGGCAAGATTTAAATCCAAGTTTTCCCTCTCTTGAGTCTCGTGCTTTGTGTACCACACCATGCTGCCTCCCTTCGAATTTAATCCCTAGTTTTATAAGAGAGGAAACTGAGGCCCAAAGAAGTGACTTTCCCAAGATCCCAAGTAGCAAATGGAAGAGCTAGGATTTGAAACCCATCTCTTTGACTCCAGATTCAGTATGCTTTCCACTGTACTATAATTGACTTAACAAGGTGTGAATTTGTATTCCAAAGATCAGGCCTCAGAAAGCTCTGCCTAAGGGACCCAGGAATGAATAGTCAGACCCCTACTGAGACCGGCTAATAGAGAAGCAGGGGGACCAGATTTTGAGAGCCTAGAGATGGAGGTTTAGAAGCAATCGAGCACAGAACGTGCAGTGTCGAGCACCTAATAATTAGGGTTCTTTAAAGTTCAGTGTGTCCACATCTGGAGCATAATGGAGCCTTAAAAGAAATAGGAAAAATAGTAGCCAGAAATAGTATCGGCCAACTATGAGCCACAGAGCATAGCTCTGCCTGAGCCTTTACTAGGTTATGAATTATGGAGAGCTTAGCTGAAAGACCAAAGGAGGGAGAGAAGAAGAGAAGGTTGGAGACAGAGAATACATATGCGTGGAGACAAAGAGACAGAGAGATAGAGATGGAGAGAGATTACCCAAAATTTGGATGTCAGGGGTAAAGTTATATGTAACTCACAGCTAGACTTCAAAAGAAGCCCAGTTTGAGGGTAAGTAAGCAGTTTTCTGGTCTAGCCATTCAAGGATATTTAAGAGACAATGAAATCAATTCAGTCTAGTTTAATTCCCTCTGATGATGTCCATGCACCATTATAGTCAATTAAGGAAGGGTAGAGAATGAAAAGCGTTTAGCCTGGGGCAGGGTAATGGGGGGGGGTCACCAGGACAATTAAATTTCCCAGCAGGCAAATGTAATTACAAGACCCATCTCCCCCCTTTCCCCCTCATAGGACTAAGGCATAAATGACCACTGAGAGTCAGAGTTTGTGCACCAGAGTCATGCAAGCCCCTGGAAGCCACCACAGAAGAGCTTGGTGTCCCAGTCTCAAACTCCGAGAGGTGGCATCCATGTACTGCACCATGGTGGCCCTCTTCTTCATCATCCTGGTGGCAGCTTTGCAGGGCACAACTCCCCGAGAAAACCACTTCCCTTTCAAGGTCCCCCTGGACCCCAAGGGCATCCTGGAGTTGTCCTGGAATGTCAGCTATACAGAGGAGGTGATTTACTTCCAACTTCTAGTCAAGAAGCTAAAGTACGGGGTGATTTTTGGGATGTCTGACCGGGGTGAGTTTGACAATGCCGATCTAGTCGTGCTCTGGAGTGATGGAGAAAATTCCTATTTTGGGGTAAGTCTTGTCTTTCTATGCTTTTCCGCTGTCGGGTATCCAGTGATCCATCCCTTCCTCCTTTTAGTCTCCCCTTCGTTGTGATATAATCATATTAAAAGCAATAGGATGGCTTGCTCACAGCCCTTCTTTTAGCTTCTCAAGTTAGTCTGGTGAGAAAGTTCGTCTTCTCTTTGCTTTGACGGTGGCTATTTTTACAGACTTTGGCTCATCAGCAGAATGATGATGGAGAAACAAATAAGCAGCACACACACCCAACAACATATTCCTGTTAATTCATGGGCAACACATACATATTTAATCTAATACATGCACCCAAATGTGTGGCCTAGGAATTATGATTCCCATTTTACAGATGAGGAAACCGAGTCTCCAGAGGTCAAAGGGATTTGTCCAGCAGTGGTCCAATGGTGCCATAGGATGATCAGCTAAAGGATGTTTACCTTGGAAAATAGGAAATGTGAGGCAGAGGGATAGCCATGAAAGCTGTCTTCAAGCACGTCAAGGGCTGCTGTGTAGAAAGGATTAGACCTGACTGCTTGGACCCAGAGGGCAGAAATAGGTGGAAGCTGCAGAGGCAGATTTCATTTTGATAGAAAGAAAAGCTTTCTAAGCATTAGAGCTGTCCAAAAGTGAAATGGGCTGCCTTCGAAGGGAATGGGTTCCCTTTTGCTGTAGGTCTTCAAGTACAGGCTGAATGACCTGTATGGTACTGGAATTCCTTTGTCAGATATGAATTGGATGAGAGAACCCCTGAGTTTCCTTCTGCTGCTGAAATTCTTTCAATAGACAAAGCATAAAACACCCCAAACCCAACAAATACATACATACACACACACACACACACACACACACACACACACACACACACACAATGAGCAATGCTCCCTAAACCCAACACAGATAAATGATCTGTAATACCCCAGATAAGCACATGTACACCCAATACATAGTATATCCCAACTCTGACACACACAGACATGCAAACAGTGCAGACATATCTAATCCACAGGTGTGTGTGTATATATATATGTATATCACACACACACACACACACACACACACACTCATGGAGTCAGAAAGACTTGAGTCCAAATCCTTCTTGCAGAGACTAGCCTCAGTTTCCTCATCTGCAAAATGGCAATGATAATAGCACCTAATACTCACTGATAAGTTGTGAGAATCAAATGACATAACAAATGTAAAGTACTTTATAAACCTTCAAGTACTGTTTGAAAGCTTTCTATTATCAGTGTTGTTGTTCAATTGTGACTGGTTCTCGGTGACCCTGTGGACCAACTGTCTATGAAGTTTTTCTTGGCAAAGATACTAGAGTGATATGTCATTTCCTTCTCCAGTTTTATGTAGGCAGGGGTTAAGTGACTTGGCCAGGGTCACACAGCTGGTAAGTATTTGGGGTCAGATTTGAACACTGGTCTTCTGACTCCAGACCCAGCATTCCATCTACTGCACCATCTAGCTGCCTCAGCTATTACACAGACACAGACACACACACACACTAAAAAGCACATTTCAAACTCAACACAGGGTGTATATTGTGTGCACTGTGTATTGAGATATACATCTCAAAGACAAATGAGGCCTAAAGATCATCCATACTCTTGCCACTTATATGCCAACAAGGAGCATGGACAGTCCTAGATCAGGAATATTTGAAAGTCACCCAAACTTAAGTCAAAGAGCAGAGAACAGTGCAGAAATTCCCTTCCAGGTGAGCCATCCCTTCAACAAGTCCAACCAAAGTCCCAGGAAGCTTCCACAGGTCACCTGCCCTATTTAACTGGTCCTTGTAGCTTCATTTAAATGTTTCTTGCCATCTACCAGGCAAGTGAATAAGCAAAAGGAGTGGTTTTCAATGGTTTTAAAACCATCTCTTTCCACGAAAACACACTAGGGGAGTTTTAAAGCAAACCAGAGACAACTTAGCTTAGGAGTGAACTGAGGATAACTGACATTGGCCACTTTTCTAATGACAGCTTGGAAGGGTAGGTGTGAAACCTTGGGTTAGAGCAGGACAGAGCGGGCAAGGTGGGGCAGCTGTGGAGAGGGGCTATGGGGCTGGTGAAGGTGGAAACTGACTCCTCTTGTCCTCCCCCCACCCCCACCCTGGCAAAGCAGCAGGAACCCTGACTACCCCTCAGTCTGATGCTCTTTCAAAAGGCTCAGTGGGGCATGTGACAGATAATATGACAAGATTACTGTTCTCTTCCTGGCAGCTTTTCCCTCTCCTTGTCTCTTTCTGCTACTGTTAAAGAAGCCAAATCCACTTAACCTTTCTGCACACTCCGAGACTAATTTGCACAACAATTTCCCATTAAAACAAATGTCAGTCCTTTTATTTCCACCTTTAACAATAAATTCAGCAGAGGTATTCTAGGTCTTTTCTAAAGATTTTTTTTTTGCCTTTATTTAAAGTTAATCCCTTTGTATCTCAGCAACATGTCCTTGTGAAATTTTGAAAACAAAAAAGTTTTGTTTCCCTCTTTAAAAACAAGAAAATATGTTTTGGCCCCTGGATGTGTGATTTAAAAGCAAAACTGAAAGGCTGTGCCTGGGATATTCCTAAATGGGATTGTTTCCTTTGAACATGAAGGGCTCTGGTTTCTAGCATGGGGTCTTTATGATACACTTTCCCTGCACTCTGGGGCAGACGATAGCAACTGCCAACATACCGATGGGGGCCTTCGTTCAATATTCGTGCTTGAACTAGGGATGCATGGAAAGTGGGCCCCAGCATTACTCTAAATGAATATTAGAAAATTGCTGGAAAAAATAAAATTGCTACTGAACACAGTGCATAGGCACGCACTAAGACTAGACATACCCTTTTGACTTTAGAAGTCGACAAAACAGTAATCCTCCTGAGGAAAGCTCCTTGATACAGGCCCTTAGAATTCTATTCCTATAACCAGAGCCAGACCTCAGTAGGAACAGCAATCCCTCCTGTTTGCCCGTCACTTTATATATACTATCTCCTTTCCATCTTCTCTCATTCCCTTCTACAAATTCTAGCTCCTGGCTGTACTACCCTCCATTTCTTACTCTCTTCCTGTCCTCTCCCATCTCTTGGTCTTTGATCTCTTTATAACCTTTTGCTGAAATCTTATCTCCAACGCTATAAGCTGAAGCGCCTACCTTCCTTCAAGGTGTAAACAACCGAGTTACTGGGGTCATCTCCAGTTGTCCTGATCAATATGTGACCATTGGATCCAGATGGCTCGGGAAGAGGAAATGAGGCTGGTGACTTTGCACAGCCTTCCCTCACTTAAATCTAATTCACTGGCAAATCATGGCATCATCTTCCTGATGTCATGGTCCTCTTTGAGAACAAAGGACAAACCACACAACTGAGCTGTCATCTCCTCTGTGGAGGTTTCCCTTCTGAGTTCTCTCTGCCCTTGCCTCCCTACCTTAAGTGATGGTGCGATGAGTCTTTTGCCTGGATCCTTCCCTCTCCCTCCCGGTGTCCACCCCACCTCATCCCAAATAGATTGTGAGTTTCTTGGAAGCTTTGTGTCAGACCTAACTTTGTATTCCCTGCATAGGGGCAGCTAGGTGGTACAGCAGACAGAGCACTGGGCCTAGAGTCAGGAAGACCTGAGTTCACATCTGATCTCAGACACTTAATAGCAGTATGATTCTGGACAAGTCACTTACCTCTGTTTGCCTCAGTTTTCTTATCTGTAAAATGAGCTGGAGAAGGAAATGGCAAACCACTCCAGTATCTTTGCCAAGAAAACCCCAAATGGGGTCAACAAAGAGTCAGACACAACTGAAAAACAACAACAATTTCCTGCATAGTGTCTTGCACACAGTAGGTTCATTAATCTGAAGCTGGAAGGATCCTCAAAGGACACCAAGTCAGAGGTCCCATACTGGGGATTCCTTTTGTATTTGGGCTCAACTAGATGGTCCAACTCTCAAATTCTGTTCCTCTCCAAGCCCATTATATATAGTCTAACCCTCTTGTTTTACAGATGAGGGAAGCAAAGTCTCAGGAGATTAGGGGTTTTGCTAAAGGTTTCCCAGATAGTAAGTGTAAGTGGTAGGCTTTGAACCCAGGCCCGCTGATTTCAGAGCCATCTCACCCTACTTGTAATGGTCAGTTTAATTGCACTGAGATGAAATGAAGGCTGATAAAGAAAGTCTCTTTACTGATGGAGTGCTGGGCGTTATGATGGAACTTAGGGAGATATTTCAGGCAAGGAGAGTTTTCAGGGCCCTCTCCAATAACACCACACAGGTAGCCCTCTAACAATAATATGAATAGGGACTTATGATTTCGTTGTTGTGGAGAATTCCAAGAGGAGGAAATACCTTCTATGAATGTAGGTCAGCTCCTAACCCTAACCCTAAATGCATCTTATATTCATAAGAGAGCTGCCTAGATCAGAGGTGTTAAACATGCTGCTCTCCCTAGTGCAGCCTGAATCAGAGGAAGATGCAACTGGGAAATGTTGAACAGAATAAATAGAAGTATGATGAAACATAGATAATAATAATATGTGGTTTTCTAAATCAATATGCAGCCTACACAGATCCTTATGTACTGTTTAGTCGCCTCCATTTCCATTTGAATTTGGCACTCCAGCCTAGAGCACTGAGAGATCATATGACTTGTCCAGGTCACACAGCCAGCATGTGTCTCAGGCAGAACACCTCTATCTACTATGCCAAGCTGTCTTTTGATGATAATAGTAACAACAACATGTATAGAAACAGATATAATATAGTAATAACATACGTGTGTATGTTATATGTACATGTCATAATAACAGTATTAACATATTTCACATGTACATTTCCCGCTGTTCAGTCATTTTCAGTTTGTCTGACTGTTCATGACCCTATTGGGGGTTTTCTTGGCAAAGATACTGGAGTGATTTCCCTTTTCCTTCTCCAGCTCATTTTACAGATAAGAAACTGAGGCAAATAGGGTTAAGTGACTTGCCCAGGGTGACATACCTAATAAGTATCTGGTGCTGGATTTGAATTCACAAAGATGAGTCTTTTTGACTCCAGGCCCAGCATTCTATCCACTGATAGTAGATAGAGAACTGTCCTTGGAGGCAGGAAGATCCAGTTTCAAGCTCTGCCCTAACACATCCTGCCTATGTGACCCTGGACAATATGATCTCTCAGTACTCTAGGACAATGGCCTCATTTTATATAAATATGTATGTGTGTATGCATGTGTGTGTATACATATATATATAAATATTATGTATATATGTATGTATGCATTTAAACTTTAAAAAGGGGGGGAAGAATCTTTAGAAATTTCAGAAAAAAAAAAGATTTTAGCTAAAAACATTCTAGAATGCCTTAGTTGAATTTATTGTTAAAGGAGGAAAGAAATGGCCTGGACCTGACATTTGCTTTAATAGGAAATTTTTGTGCAAATTAATCTTAAAGTATATTCATTATATATATATATATATGTATATATATATATACACACACACACACATATATGTAGAGATGTACATATACAAATATATACACGCATGTGTGTGTATATGTATAAACTTACATTATATGCACATATATACATGTGTGTAAACATATATATACACACACACATACATATATACACACACACACACATATATATATATATATATATATATATAATTCCCCAAAGTCTTAGTGCAATTTAGGCTTTAATCGGCTTAAAACTACACTAAGACCTTTGGTATGCTCTTTAACCTTTGTGAAGAACTTCACATCCGTCATCTCATTTGAGACCCTTTGAGGCAGATATTACAATCCTCTTTTCTTGGATGAGAGAACTGATGCTCAGAATAGCTAAATGACTTACCTGTGGCCACAAAACTATTAAGGACGAGGGTTGAGAATGAAACGGAGGTTTTCCTGGCTTCAGATACAACCTTCTACCCACTACAACGTGCTGCCCCGCAGAGAATGCTGCTGTGCAAAAAGCATGAACCTGGAGTAAGGACACTGGGGTTCTAGCCCTGCTTCTGGCATAAACTCCCACTGTGAGACCTTAGACAGAGTAACCACTTCTCTCTGAGTCTCAGGCTCTTCATCTGTAAAACAGAGGAATTTAATCTAATGGCATCTAAGGCCACTTTAGTAAGCAGATACTTATTAGCTATCTGACCCTGGGCAAGTCATCTAACCCTGTTTGCCTCAGTTTCTTTCTTTCTTTCTTTCTTTCTTTCTTTCTTTCTTTCTTTCTTTCTTTCTTTCTTTCTTTCTTTCTTTCTTTCTTTCTTTCTTTCTTTCTTCTTTCTTCTCTTTCTCTCTCTCTCTCTCTCTCTTTCTTTCTTTCTTTCTTTCTGGCAATTAGTGTTAAGTGACTTGTCCAGGGTCACACAGCTAGTAAGTGTCAAGCATTTAGTCTGAGGCTGGATTTGAACTCAGGTCCTCCTGACTCCAGGGCTGGTGCTCTATCCACTGAGCCACCTAGCTGCCCCTATGCCTCAGTTTCTTCATCTGTAAAATGAGCTGGAGAAGGAAATGGCAAATCACTCCAGTATCTCTGCCAAAAAAAACCCCAAGTGGGGTCAGGAAGAGTCTGACACGACTGAATGACTAAACAACAGCAACAAGAGGTCCCCTTTAAGCACTAGAATGCTCAGGCGCCGTACTTGTGAGTCCTGCTAGAATACTAATCACAGCAGCGCTTGAAAGTTTGCATTTTTACAATATTGTCTCATTTGATCCCTACAACAACCCGGAAGGTAGGTGCTGTTAGTATCCCCATTTTTTCGTCCAGGAAACTGAGACAGACAAAGGTCAAGCGTCTTGCTCAGGCTTCCACAGCTGGCCAGCGTTGGAGGCTGGTTTTGAACTCGGGTCTTTCTGACCCCAGGTCTAGCGCTCTATACGCCACACCACCTCGCTGCCTCTTATTTCCAAGGCGGTCCCTGTTTTCTGACTGTGCTTGTTTTGGCAGGATGCGTGGAGTGATGCAAAGGAGCGGATCCATCTTGATTCCCAACAGGATTACCAGCTTTTGAAGGCTCAGAAGACTTCTGGGGGACTCTTCCTTCTTTTTAAGAGGCCCTTCAGCACCTGTGACCCTAGAGATTATCTCATTGAGGTGAGAAAGGCCTCTCTCTGCAAAGGAAAGATGTGGTTGGGCATGAAAATCTGAGCCTCACCTTATACTTTTACCCCTGCCTCAGAATGATGATTGTGCCTGGATGCCTAGTCAGAGTATTGCTGCTAGTGGAGTTTTCATTAGCTCTCTTCTTGGGCAGGCGAGAAGTTGATTACAGATTTGAGGAAACCTCCTGGGGAACTCTCCTTCCCAACCATAGGAAGATGGCAGCCCAGAGACAATGGAGAGGGTTGCGAGGTGGCCCAGCCAGAGTTCATCAATATGATAGGGTTGGAGGGCATTTTTTTGTAAAAACAACTCTTCACATTGACTCATAACATTGGTCGCTGTGGTCTGGCAGAGAAGTTCCTTACCTAGAGGTCTTTTACCATATCCATGTAAGCCCAATTGCTTCCAGAGCAAGGTTCTAGAGCAGGGGTAGGGAACCTGTAGCTTCGAGGCCGCATGTGGCCCTCTAGATCCTCAAGTGCAGCCCTTTGACTGAATCCAAACTTCACAGAACAAATCCCCTTAATAAAAGGATTTGTTCTGTAAAACCTGGACTCAATCAAAAGGCCTAGAAGACCACATGTGGCCTCGAGGCTGCAGATTCGCCACCCCATTCTAGAGCCTTTGTTTGTCCTTCAAGTCCTTCCCCAGTGAGCCATATTTAATTCTCCTGCCCTCCCTATGTTTTGTTCTCTAATCAAACTGTTTTACATTCTGACCTTCTGAACACCACCCCAAGCTTTCTCACCTCCCTGCAGGCTGTGTCCATGAGCCTGGAATGCTTTCCCTCCCTCCCCTCTATGACTGCTGCATACCTATCCTTTCCAATAGTGCCTCCTTCATAAAGCCTTCCCTCCTTTCCTGGGTTGATAATGGCTTTCTCCTAGACCTCACATAATACTCTACACTCCTCTCCTCCACTTATCAGGTAATATTGGCTATTACAATCATCTGAGTTTCTGTCTTAGCTCTGTTCTAGTCTATAAGTTTCATGAGGTCAGGGATCTTGTCTAATCTAAATTTCATACTTAATCCAATGGCCAGTCCAGTGCTAGGCACACAATGCAGGCTTAACAAAATGTTCATTGAATGAATGCATGTGGTCACCAAAGTAGTTATCTTCTGTCTCCTTCTATTCTCCCCTCCTCTCCCCCCCCGTTCTCTAAACACACCCAGTTATAGAGGAGGAACATGTCCTGTTTTGTTTTCATAGGATATTAGGATAATAGATTAGAGCTGGAAGGGCCTTCAGAGGTCATCCAATACAACCTCTTCATTTTGTGGATTAAGTGACTTGACCAAAGATACCCAGTAAGTGATGGGGCAGGATTTGAACCCAGGTCCTTTGGCTTCAGATCCAGTGTTCTTTCCATTATAACATAATTTAACTCAACATTATTGAATTCCATCTCTGATACACATAGTGGGAAGTTTCATCTCCTCTCCTCCCCTCCCCTCCCATCTCCTCTCTTCTCTCCTCTCCTTGAAAGCACTTGTGACCTCTTTAAGCTCAGTTCTATTCTTTCCTACCCCATCCTATCTTCTCCCAACCTATCCTGTCCTATCCCATCTTAACCTGTGTATTATTATATTCTATAATGTAGGCAGCAGTGTGGTGGATAGCGTGTTATTTTAGACTTGGGATCAGGAATTCAATTCAATTCATTTCAATAAGCACTTATTAAGAGCCTATGGTATGCCAAAGCAAGAGACATAAAGGCAAAACCACAATATTTCCTGCCCTTAAGAAGCTTAAGGATTCTACTGGGGAGAACAAGAGAAAACACAGATAATTAAAGCCAAAACATATAAGAAGTAAATACAAAATAATGATGATAAAGAGGAAGAGCTGGGTTCAAATCCTGTCTCTGACATTTATTGGCTGTATGATATCTATGTGACTCAAGCAACTCCCTAGGACTTAGCCTTTAACCGACAAGCTGTAATCCGTATTGCTAGAAAGAACTCCTGACAATGATCAATCAATCAATCAACCTTTAGTAAGCACCTACTGTGTGTCAGGCACTGTATGAGGTGCAGGGGATATGATTACAAAAAATGACACAATCCCCACTCAAAATCAGGTTATATTCTCTTGATGATGATATCACTAATCCTTTGGATATTTACATGTATTCCATATTGCATTCTAATCCTCGTATATGTATGTGTTGTATGTCTCTGGGTAGATTGAAAGAGCCACTCAGACAAGGGCTGTCTTAATTACTTTCGTAAGTCCTCCAGTGCCCAGAAAAAGGCTCTGCACATAACAGGTGTTGAGTAAGTGGTTGTTGAAGAAATGAGCACCTACTATGTGTAGGTCTCTGTGACAGGGACACAGAGAGAAATAAGACATGGTCACTGATTTCAAGGACGTCATAGCATAATAGTGAGATAAGGAACATACCCCAAATGACTAGGATATGAAACAGTATGCGATAAGCAAGTAGAAGTGTGAATGAAATGCCATGGGAGTTCAGAGGAAGAGATATCAGTTCCAACAAATGAGGGATAATGAGGGGAGCGTAGAAACTTCATGGAAAATGGACCAGCCCTTGAAGGGTAGGTAGAATTTCAACAGGTGGGGATTGACTGGGTGGTCAGGGAGGGTATTGTCATTACAGGAAATAGCATTAACTAGACTATTTGCTCAGTTGTGTCTGAATCTTTGTGACCCCATTTGGAGTTTTCTTGTAAGAGATAGTGGATTGCTGTGCCATTTCCTTCTCCAGCTCATTTGAGGAAACTGAGGCAAACAGGGTTAAGTGACATGCCCAGGGCCACACAGCTAGGAAGTGTCTGAGGTCAGATTTGAACTCAGGAAGATGAGTCTTCCTGACTCTAGGCCAGGTGCTCTATCCACTGTGCCACTCAGCTGCCCACAGCTAAGCCCAGTGGTAGACAAAAGGTGGTATGAGTTCAGGAAAATGTGAGTAATCCATTTTTCTTGGAGACTAAGGTGTGTGAAAGGGAATAATGGGAGATAAAGTAGGCAAATACACAGAATTTACTAAAATACATTGATGTAATTTCTAAGCAATGCCTTGAATATAACAGCCCTGCTTTTGCTATTCTGAGCAAAATGATAAAAAGTGATCTTCAGTTCTCACTCTGGCTGAGCGTCAGGGTCTCTCTCTCTGTCCACCTCTCCATCTTTGTCTCTGTCTCTCCTTTTTTCCTCCCACACCAGCAGCTCAGACAGTTGCTCCAAGGCTGCAAAAGAAAGGCAGTGAAAATTCAGAATAAGTTCATAGGCTTGTTAGTCTAGAGCCGAAAGGGACCTCAGAATTCGTCTAATCCAACCCCCTCCTCTTAGAGGTGAGCACACTGAAGCCCAGGGAGGTTTAACGACTTGCCCAAAGTCATACAAGTAGTAAGTATCAGAGGTGTGATTTGAACCCAGACCCTCTTAGTGCAGAGCCAATTCTCTTTCCGATGTACTTTCAGTTCAATGAAATATTTTTACTACATGCTGTAATACATAGACGCATGAGAAAATGAAAAGATCCAGTCACTGCCCTTTGGGAGATTACCAGCCAATAACTCACTCTGAGCCCTATTCCTGTTCCCATCTGGTTCTTTATTTCCCATATTGTAAAATGAAAAGGGTCTGATTAAGTGATCTGTAAGATCTCATCTATTTCATTCAATGGGATAATATAGTTGGGGAGATAAGATTTACTCACATAGAATAATTGGAGGCCAGCACAAAGACAGACTATACTGTATATTTGCCATAGACAGTGAGTGTTAGAGGAAGGGATGTCACCCCAGGCCTTGCTCATGCCAGCCCATTCAGATTGGCATCTACTTCTTTAGAAAGCCAGGAACCATGAATGTTCCAAGTAGGTCATACTCAGGGTTGTGAGACAGTTGTGAGGGTGAGGAGGATGGTGAACATGATCCAGTCACATAGGTAGACAGAATAGCCAATCAAGGTCAGATGGGTCAGTCAGTTAATAAACATTTATTAAGTGCCTACTATGTGCCAGGTTTTGTGTTAAATGATGAGAATAGGAATACAAAAAAGAGAGTCTTTGCCCTTGAGGAACTTACAGTCTAATAGGGAAAGACAATGCACAAAAGGAAGAGGGGAGTTGGGGGAGGAAGAAGAAAGGGGAATTGGACATGATGGAGACTTCTGGAAGAGTGCAGTGGGGTGAGAAATGAAGGGATGACTGGTCTGGGTGCCATGCCTAAATGGAGGTTCTGGGAGGGGTTCTCCATTTTCTTAAGTCAGAGGGAAGGATCCCAAGGGCCGGGTACTAATGAGGTGTGCGATCCTGGGCTGAAATGAGTGTACCTGTGACACTGGCATTCTGTGTTTCCGTGGCAGGATGGCACCACACACTTGGTGTATGGGTTTCTTGATGAGCCATCCCCGTCCCTGGAGGCCATCAACACATCTGCCATTCAGAAGGGGCTTCAACGAGTACAACTTCTGAAGCCTAACATCTCCATCCCTGAAATGCCTCTTGATCTGAACACCATGGAAATAAGAGCCCCAGATGTAATAATTCCCAACCAAGAAACAACATACTGGTGCTACATAGCAGAACTCCCAGATCACTTTTCTCGGCATCATATTGTCATGGTAAGGAAGGGAAGGGGTATGGTGCCCTCAACAATTGTCCATTGGTCTCCAAGACAGGCATCCATGATCTTCGCCCTGGATCTTTACAATCCCCCTCCCAACCCCTCCCATAATCTCCTAAAGGAAGATAGACAAGTTATCTTTTCCCCCTAGACCTCATCTATAAAATGAGAAGAATTCATCTTTGTTTTGCTATTTCTCTTGCTGCACATTGAGAGAATATGGATATAGGCATTCAAAATCCGTCAAGAAAGATAAACTTACTTTTTTTTAAAACAAAAAGCAGCTTAGAGTGTATTATTTTGAGTGGTATAGTCAGTCAATAAGCATTTATTAAATGCCTATCATGTCCCAGGCAGTGTGCTAAGTGCTGGGGATACAAGGAAAGGTAAAAGACAGTCCCTTCTCTCAAGGAGCTCACAGTCTAATAGGGGAGACAACATGCAAATAACTATATTCAGACAAGTCATATACAGGATAAATTATACAAGATACACACAAATAACTATCTACAAAGAAGCTATCGGAGGATAAATGTACAGGCTGATCAAGAAGAGGGAAGGCATTAGAATGAAAGGGAATCAGGAAAGACTTTTCATAGAAAATGGGATTTTAGCATAGAGCATGATAACCTAGAGATGGGTAATAAACTAAGAGGTTTCTGGCTAATATTTCCAAGGCAATGAGTCCTGCCTGGGACCTGACCCCTAGGCTAGCTGCTGCTCTGATCAGACTAGGTGACTAGTTCTGTAGACTTACAATCATCCCTTGGGTAGAAATTGAAGATTCTCTGCTCACTCTCTCACCTGCATGCAAGAGTCAGAGTTCACCTTTGCCATGGAAGGCCCCTTGGATACCAGTGCATGCTCCAGGGATTGCAGGCCAACCAGGGAAGTCTTGAACTCAGATGTCCAGCTATGACTCCCCTGTTTTGGAAGTGTTTAGGGTCCTGAGGCAATGCCAGGAGTGACACTTGTCTAAGAGATCTCTATTCTTCAGGGAAGGCAAAACCAGTCTCAGAGAAAGGGGCTTGGGTCGAGGGTGGAGGAGGGTCAGGAATAGTGAAGTTACACAGTGACTCATCATGTCCATTCTCTGAATGATCTCTGCAGTATGAGCCCATCATCACCAAGGGCAACGAAGCCCTCGTCCACCACATGGAGGTCTTTCAGTGTGCTGCGGAGTTTGAGACCTTCCCACACTTCAACGGGCCCTGTGATTCAAAGATGAAACCTGAACGGCTGAACTACTGCAGACACGTCTTGGCTGCCTGGGCCTTAGGAGCCAAGGTGCGTGAGGAGATTGGTTGTGATAATGATTAACTCGCACTTCATCTTAAGGTTTCTTCCTCCCCCTCCCCACCCCAATTTTATAATTTTCTCACCAATAATCATAATAATAACAATAGTAATACAGCAACTTACATTTAGAACTCTGCACATATATCATCTGATTTAGTCCTTACCATGTTGTTGTGACGAAGATATTACAGGGATTATTGTTGTTGTTGTTATTGTTATCCCCATGAATGAATGAATGAATGAATGAATGAATGAATGAAAGAAAAAGTCTTTATTAAGCATTTGTCATATGCCAAGCATCACGTGAAATGTTTATTAAGCTTAAATGTTTTTTTCATTCCTTTACTCATTTTATTGATGAGCAATCTAAGACACAGAGAGACTTGGGGTACTTGAGGACAGAACTAAAAGGGACCTTGGGAGTAATTTAGTTCAATCCTCTCGTTTTATTGTGAGGAAATCAAATCCCAGAGATCTTTAATGGTTTTCCCAAGTTGACACAGGTAGTAAATGAAAGTGGTGGGATTTGAACCCAAATTACCTGACTTCAAATCCATTGACTAACTTGTGATCACTCACCTACTAAGAGGCAGAGCCAGAATTTGAACTCAGGTCTTTTTTCTTGCTTTCTCTCTCTCTCTCTCTCTCTCTCTCTCTCTCTCTTCTTTCCTTCCTTCCTTCCTTCCTTCCTTTCTTTCTTTCTTTCTTTTGTTCTTTTTCTTTCTTTCTTTCTTGCTTTCTTTCTTTCTTTCTTCCTTCCTTCCTCCTCCTTCCTTCCTTCCTTCCTCCCTTCCTCCCTTCCTCCCTTTCTTTCTTTCTTTCTTTCTTTCTTTCTCTTTCTTTCTTCCTTCCTTCCTTCCTTTCCTTCCTTCCTTCCTTCCTTCCTTCCTTCCTTCCTTCCTTCCTTCCTTTCTTTCTTTCTTTCTTTCTTTCTTTCTTTCTTTCTTTCTTTCTTTCTTTCTTTCTTTCTTTCTTTCTTTCTTTCTTCCTTTCTCTCTTTCTTTTTTTTCTTTTTTACTTCAGATAAGGAAAAGGGTAAGCCCAACAAGCAAGGGAGAGGGTAGGCTCAATAAAGTAAAGGGAGGGCCAGTAGTAATGGGTGGTTTCAATCAACCAGTCAACAAGCATTTTTTAAACACCTACTCTTTCTGGAGGCACTGTGCTAGATGCTGGGAATAAAAATACGAAGAATGAACCAGTCTCTTAAGGAGATTACATTCTAGGGGGAGGAGACAAGAGGAGGAAGATTGGAAGAAGTTTGAAAAGTATCCAAAGGTTCTCTTGTCTGTATCACTAGTTTGTGTGCTTCTAATTTTACCATTCCTTTGGTTCATGGAGCCCTTTGGTCTTAAAAATGCAGTTTTTCTTGCTTCCTTTTTTGCTAATTTTACTGTTTCATGTGTATTAATTAGTCTTGTCTCCTTAATATGGAGACAGGGACCCCATTTGATATGTGTTTATATTCCACTTTAGGGCCTAGTACAGTGCTAAGCATGTGGTTGCTGCTTGTTGACTGAATGAATGGGAAAAACAAATAGACTATGGGGCACCTGAGGACAGAGACTATGTCTTCTTCATCTATATATTCCCCATAGCGCTATGGATCATAGTGCCTTATATATGGTAGCCCAGCCACACACATGAGACTAAATGGGAGAAGTAACAGCTGTCTACTTTGCAACTTAGCTGAAGGCTGCCCTGCATAGGGGCGTGGGAGGGTGTGCTTGGGGAGGGAAGACTCATTATGGTCTCCAGGTTCCTGTGTCTAAGTTTCTATCTATGCATGGGATGGGTAACAGAACTGTTGTTCAATGTGGGTAGAAATCACCCTACTTTCAGAAGACTCCCTCAATTCTCACCTCCCCCTGTGCGTTTGGACTCCACGGAATTCAGAAGCTAAATAGAGTGGGATGGCTCATGGACCGAATTCTGGAGTTCTTTGTAATTACGTGTGAGTCTATTTTGCTCATCATTTGGTGCTGTATTCAATCTCCTCTTCAATCTTACAGGCATTTTACTACCCAGAGGAAGCCGGTCTTGCTTTTGGAGGCCCCGGATCTTCAAAATATCTCCGCCTGGAGGTTCACTATCACAACCCTCTTGAGATGAAAGGTCAGTGTGTGGGTCTGTGCTATTTACAGAACTTGTGCCTTTCCAGGACGCAGTTTTTTTAATTCTCTAATGTCATCCTTTCTCCTCTTAGTTAAGCAGGTTGAATCAATACATTTTTTCCTTACTTTCTCTTATGATGGGTGATGGGGGAAGTCAGAGCTGACCTAGAATTGGCTATTTCAATGCAACTCAATCTCAGGACTTAGTCGTGCCCTTAAAAGTTTGATCACACTAAAAACAAAGTTAGCACCCAACACCTTTCCCCCCTTTTTCACTTTGTGGTATCAACCATAACTCTAAGATATCTTTAGGTTGTTATTTGTAAAGAAGTTCAAAAACTGCTCAGAAAGGCACCAAACATCTGTGGTACAACAGGACTGAAATATAAACTGTCAACACTAGAAGACTAGTTTTGAAGTGGGATGTTAGTCCTAACAGAACAGTGGACTTCGGCAGCACCAACTGTGTTTTTCCTATAAACGCCCACTTGCTATAGCTCCATTATACCCATATATAGATGATGGAGAAATGTGATGCTCTCAGAGATGATGCAATGCTAGGGCCAGACAATGGTCACAGCCAACAGTAGAATGTGTGCAGTCCCTGCTAAGTATCTTGCTCTAACCATAGGAAATAACACCTCCAAAATGGGCACCCATGGTTTTGGAAAAAAGAGTTAGCAAGTTCCTCCTATTCCCCATATGCCTATGCATGCCATCTCCTTCTCTCCTCATCTATAGATCCAAAGGACCCTGGAGTTGGAAGGGGTCTTTAATCCAACACCCTGATTTTACAGATGTGGAAACTCAGCTCCAATCTGTCTTCCACATAGATCATGTTACTCTGTTGCTCAAAGACCTTCGATGACTTCCTGTTGTTGACAGGATAAAATCCAAACTGTCAAACTGACATTTAAAGCTCCCTGCAATCTGACTCTACTTTGTTTTTCCAGTCTTATCTGCTGCTTTGAATTGCTATATTATCTCCTGATACTTCCTGGTTTGGACTCAATAGTTGTCATTTTTTAATTTTGCTTGTCTCCATTTGGGGTTTTCTTGGCAAAGGTATTGGAGTGGTTCACCTTTTCATTCTCCAGATAATTTTATGCATGAGGAAACTGAGGCAAACAGGGTTAACTGACTTGATCAGGCTCACACAGCTAGTAAGTATCTGAGGCCAGATTTGAACTCAGGAAGAGGAGTCTTTCTAACTCCTGGCCTGGCACTACCACTGAACCACTTCATTGCTTCCAGTCAAACCAAACTATTGGTTGTTCCCCAAACGTGCTCCCTGCTTTCCCATTTCCACATCTTTACTCATGATGGCCCTTCTGTTTAGAATGTTTTCCTTCTGCCTCTGATAAAATCTTACCCATTACTTCAAGGACCAGCTTAAATGACAATTTATCCATGAAACCTACATTGATCTTTCCTGCCTCCCTCTATAACTGACTGGGATCTCTCTCTCTTCATCACACTCCTTCTCTCTCCTATGGCACTCATCACGATCTCTCTTGTATTATCATTGTGTACCTATCATTCCCCTACTGGACTCTAAGCCCCTTAAAGGACAGTAGCTGATCTAATTTATCTCTGTATTCCTCTCCAATCTTTATGCTTCAACTGAATTCAACAAATGCTTATTAAATACCTACTATGTGCTGGGCACTGTGCTTAGCCCTGGGAATACAAAGATTTTTTTAAAGTCTCTTCTTTTAAAGAGGTCACAATTTAATAGAAGGATATGACATACACACATATGAAGAGGATACAAGAAGAGCGTGATAGTACAAAGAAGAGATTCCAAAAGGTGACTGTACTAAAGAAAGCTCTCTAAGGAGCTTGCTGGTATCACCAAGTTTGGTAGATGATGCAACTCTTAGGCTCTCCCCTACAGGTATCTATATTAGAATAATGGGTGCGGGGAAACCAAAAGCCTTCGAGATCCAAAGCAATCAATTGCTAATAGTGGGAATTTTGTGCAATTAGGCAGTAGAAGAGATAACAAAATTGGGAAGGGACCTTTGACTATTGGACATCAGGCCTACAATGTACATAGAATGTCAGAACTATGTATGTAAGGGTTACAAAGGGCCTTAGAACATAGAATGTTTGCTATAGAAAGTATTCTAGGTATTGCCTGGCTCAGCCTACTCATTTTACAGAGAAGAAAACTGAGACCAACAGAGGCAAATGACTTGTCTAATGTTACATGGGAATTAAATGGCAGAACTGTGATTCAAAGAATAGTTATTTTTGTGCTGATTTGGGATGTCTCCAAGTTTCTGTCCATTCCCCAGGCCTATTGGTGTTTGTGTTATCTTCCTCAGGTTGGGCACCTTGTCTGTGGAACTTGTTTCATAGGGAGGTATGACATGGGCAGTTATGGGGGTCTATTCAAGCCATTATCTATGACACACAATTCCAAGCCATGGAGAGTTTGAGGGGGGGGAGATACAGAGACAAATTAAGAAAGGGTCCCTAACCCCCAAGAGGAAAAGGGGACAACAGTATTAATCACTGATACAAGGTTGAATATATGAATACAATATCCTTTTCCATCTGTATTTGCTTGACATTAACAGCAATCTTACATCCCACAGGTACACTATGAGCCAACTTGGCCAATAAACTGATACCGTTCATCTTGTTCAATTAAAATCAAAAGGGAAAGACCCTTCTTAAAAATTCCCAGCTCCTTAGGTCTACAGGGAAGCTGCTTCTTCATGATATCTGGGTATATTTATGGATCCATTGCCACATATAGGGAAGATCATGTCATTTCGCGAATCTCAAAATGTGCTACTTTGCTATAAATATCGAGATCTAGCAGTTATTTCATTATTTAATTCTCTTCTGAATTTTAACAAATTATATCTTTTTTATTATTATCCATCTGATGCAATCAGCATGGAGATACTGGAGATGGTTGAACTTGGACTTTTTTTTTTTTTTATTAAGGGGTTTAAATGAAGGGAGAGAAGGAAAGTGTGAGTTTCTTTTTCTCTCTGAGATGCACCTCGAGTTTGCCCTAGGAATGTCCTGGTGGGGGCAGGGAAAGGATGATTTGGTGGGGAGCATCAAATGAGGACACACCCCCTCCAACATGGATAAGCCTTTCCCATTTTAGCAAGCCACTAGGGGTGAGTTGGCCAAATGGGCTAGCTGTCAACTTTGACCCAAAAAGGGGATAAACTACAAGGCAGGGCTCAGTCAAGAACCCTGAGTTCTGGTCTGTGCTCTGCTTTCAAGCCAGCTATTCAACCTTGGACTTCAGTTTACTCCCTTGTAAAATGAGCAGGTTGGATGATACGATCTCTATGGTCCTTTTCAGCTTTAAAATGCTCTGATTCGGTTACCTGTGGGAAGATGGCTTAGGGGATGGGCTTATCAGCAGCAGCTGTACACATGCCTTCGTCACCACCCTCCACCATGTTTTCAATTCCCAACTTTCCTTCTAGTTCATGCAGATTAATTTTTTTAAACTTATTGATATCTTTTGACTTTCATTTCTGAACATGCCCCCTCTCTTCTTTGGGGAATCATCCTTGTAACAAAGAATGAAAACGAAAGACAATATGAAAAGCAGTTCAAGCAAAACTAAGCAATGTACCAATCAAATGTAATGTACGTGGAATGCTCCACCCCCGTCACCCCCCACCTCTGCAAAGAGGGAAAGTGGTGCCTTTCCTCGCCTGTCCTCTGAGTCCTGGCTGGGTCAATTCGTTACACACACAAATGGGTCTGTGATTCCATCAGTTTGGTAGTTATATACATACAGATGAATCCCAAATAAGTCCAGGGGGTATAGGAATTGTGCTTTTCTTGCTTTTATGTCTTATATCTCTGCCCTGGGTACTGGGATACACTTAGAGGGCAAAGAAGGTAGCCTGGGTCCTTGACATTTATTATGTAGTGCCTTGGAGTCAGAAGGGACCTGGGTTTGAACCCTGCCTCTGACACTCATTAATTGTGTGGTCTTGGGCTAGTCACTTAGCCCCATTGAGCCTTAGGTTCCACATCTGTGAAATGGAGATGATAATACCTATAATCCTTATTTTACAGGGTTGTTTCAAGGTTCAAAAGAGATAATACAGTTAAACAACTTTGGAGTTCTTAAAGTCCTATAAAATACACATATACATGCTAGTTAATATTATCCTTCAGGGGCCCAGCTCAAGTCTCACATCCTCTATGGATTTGCCTCAAGGAAAGCCCAAAATTATCATTTTTTTAGTTAAAAAAGGATCAGCTTTCCCTATATATCTTACTCAATTGACTTTGTTCCAGACCTAGAAATGTTGTGAAGTTGATGAATTTTGTTTTTGGAGAGTCCAGGCTGCATGATGGGACAGTGTACCCTTTCCTCAGGGAGAGGAAGGAGTAAGCTTTTATTAAGCACCTACTATATTCAAAGTACTGTGCTATGCACTTTATAAATATTATCTCATCAGAGCCCCAGGTGCACTATGCCTTCAGAATATCCCTGGTAGCAGGACTGGAACTAGGAATGTTTGGTTCTAGGGTACAAGGCAGGAAAGGCACCTTTAATTGAGTAAGGCTTGGGCATGGGGGTGGGGAAACAGAAATACCAGGACACTGGTGAGTGAGAGGCTGAGGAATTGGGGGAGGGAGGGGCTTAGCCCAGCAGACTATCTGACCATCTGCTCATTTCCTAAATTAACTAATGATTTTATTTGTGGGTTTGCAGAACTATGATTGATATTCTTGGAAGAATCTCCTGAATTGATGGGGTCACAGATCCATTTGAGAATTTAGATGTTCTTGCTAACTGGGTGTCAGGTGGGCATCCTGTGACCACTTCAGGAATCCTGAGAATGACAGGGAAGATCTGACATCCTTCTCCATTCACCCTCCTCTCTCTTCTATTACTACTGGCCTGGTCTATGGACAATCATTTCCCCCTCTTAACATTGATGGCTAGGGTTTTGCCTTAGACAGAGAGGGGCAGAGATCCAGGACCCTCCAGAATACCTCGGCAGTGGGAGCTTACTGAAATGTCCGTGATTCCCCAGAGTGGACATGGTCCTGTATGGTCTCAAACTGACCGTGTGAATGGAGAAGGAGCAAGTTGTTACTGGGCTATTGTTGGTAGAAGAAGGGAGGGGGAGTGAACCCACAGAGTCCACTTCGACCTTGTGGTGAGCCCCAGGCCCTTGTTTCCTTCCGTTCTTTAGGGAGGCATGGCCACAGAGGGAAAGGACTGGGACCCTCCTGGGCTGGGGCCAGTAAGAGTCTACAGCAATGATGCACCCTCATGGTTGGCTGGATGTCCGTTCTTCCCAGGAACCCAATGTGTCCTGTGTAGAGGTTTAAATATTTGAGGGCCATATGCAATTCTCAACCCTGCGACCTTTCCCTGGCCAGGGCATCGATGTAGGGGTAGACCCATAAAAAGACAACATACCTAGCTCTGACTCCCCCAGCCCTGGGTGGAAAGTGAGCGAATTGCATTTGCCAAAAGAGTTCTCCATTGCTGAGGGTGTTGGCACAGTATGTGGAAAAGGGGTTATAGCCATGTTAGGAGATGATGTCGGAGCTTCAATCTCTAGTCATTCCTGTCCTCAGGAACAGATCCCTAGCCACTCCCACTCAACGATCAGAAGGGAATTGTCATTTGGCACAAGGCCTCTAGATTTGATGCTCTCTAAATTCAATGTCTTAGGAAAAAACCCTAGTTGCTCCATCCTAGTTACAGCTCACAATATCCCAATCCAGGCCTGCTCAGTCAGACCCTTGCTCAGCACCTCTTACCTTTTGCTCCTGGTTCTCTGTCTGATAAACTCACTCATATCAGTATAACCCCTGCCCTTCTCACCCCATCCCAGATAATACTTTTACATTTCCACAGGGCCCTTTGGGAGACCATACCTTTCACCCCCTTGAGCTATTATTTAACATTCTTCACAACCTAACCCCAAGCTACCTTTCCAAGTTTATCTCCTGAACCCTCTTCTCCAGCCAGGTTGGATTTTTCTTCTTTTTAGGCAATTGGGGTTAAGTGACTTGCCCAGGGTCACACAGCTAGTAAGTGTCAAGTGTTTGGTCTGAGGCTGGATTTGAACTCAGGTCCTCCTGACTTCAGGGCTGGTACTCTATCCACTGCGCCACCTAGCTGCCCCTTAGGTTGGATTTTTCATCATCCTTTAATCACACTTTGCACATTCCTGCCTTTGTTCTCTCCCTTCCTCATTTTTTAGCATCCCCCATAGAACCTGAAATGCCTTTCCTGACACCCACAAACATTATAATTCTACCCACTTGTCATGGCATTATAGCCTCTGTAAAGCCGTTCCTGACTACTGAGATCTCAGAGCACTGACTGTTTGTACTACTGGCTTAGTCCTTGGCCCTCTAAGGCCCCAAGGCCCCTTCCACTCTAAAATCTCTATGATCCTAATACCCTCAGATCCTTGACAATAAGACTGCTGCTCAAAGCCATTTGCTTCTGTTTGTTACAGCTGGGGAACATAAGAGGATTTAGAAGTAATAAAGTGTGTATAGAAAAGAAAAAACTCAGTCAACCAGCAAATAAAAAAATTGAGCTATTTCCTTGACATGAAGAGCTGGGGAGTTCATTTGTATTTTTTTTTTATGTCTTTTCCTTCCCTGCATGGTGCTTGATTCTGCTTAAGTTTTAAACTAGGCTGTGGTTCTCTCCCTGTCCTAGGCCGCCATGACTCCTCAGGCATCCGCTTGTATTACACAGCTACACTGAGGCCATTTGATGCTGGGATCATGGAGCTGGGCCTTGTATACACCCCTGTGATGGCTATCCCACCCAAAGAGACTAACTTCATCTTGACTGGCTATTGCACTGATAAATGTACTCAACTGGTGAGTATTTCTGGAATCCTGCCTTTTGACCCTGGCTCTCACAGGCTGGTTTGGGCATGGGCAAGGTATGACCAAAAAATAGTTATGTTTGGGTTTGAGTCTCCTACAGTTTCTACACTACATTTACTCAACTCAACTAAGTAGGAAACAGAATATAGACCAATCTGTCTAGAGCATAGGATGCATAATGGAGAGTAATGTGTAAGGAGTTTAGATAAGGCAGACTGGAACTGGATTAGGAAGAGCTCCAAATGCCAGATAGAGGAGCTTGCATCTTATTTGTTAGGCAATAAGGAGCCATTGAAGCTTCTTAAGTTGAGGAGTAATGTCATCAGACTTTAAGGAGACCAATTTGGCTTCTCTGTGGTGGTTAGATTGGAGAGGGCAGAGAAAGGATACCGAGAGTACAATTAGGAGGTTACTGCAATAGTCCAGGCAAGAGGTGTTGGGTCCTGAACTAGGGGTTGGTCGTGATATGGAGGAGAGGGATGGGAGAGATGTTGAAGACATAAAATAGACGAGGTTTGGCAATTGATTGAATATGGAACAGGAATGAATGACAATAAAGAGAAGAGAATGACTCAAAGGTTGAAAATCTAGGGGACTAGAAGATGGTGGTACTCTCAACAAATAGGGAAGTTAGAAGGAAAACTAAGCTTAGGAAAAAAAACAACAAATTTGGTCGTGGACAGGTTGAGTTTGAGATATCTATAGGACATCCAGATGGAGATGTCTAAAAGGCAATCAGAGGATGTAGGCATAAAGCTCAGGAGAGAAATGGGGGCTGAATGTGTCAGTCTGAGAGTCATCTGCATGGGACCTGATAAAATCAGAGAGGGAGGGAAGGAGGGAGGAGAGAGAGAGAGAATAGAAAGAGAAGAATAGAGGATCCAGAGAGGAGTCCTAGATTATAGCCACACACTTGGGGGCAGGACGTGAGTGAGATTCAGCAAAGAATTCCTGAGAAGAAAAGGTAGGAGGGAGAGAGGGAGAAAGAGACAGACACACAGACAGAGATAGAGAGACAGAGAGTAGTGCCATGAAAACCCAGGGAGGACAGAGCATCCAGGAGGAGTTGGTGATCAACAGTGTTAAAAGCTGCAAAGAGGTCATTGAGGCACTTTTAGAGAACCCATTGAGGGGCAAAGAAACAAATGAACAAATGGAAAAAGGCAGAAACTGTTTAGGGTAGGCATTCATAATTTTTTTTGTCCTCATACCCCTTGCCTTTTCATAGACCTTCCCCTATTTAAGTTTGAAAGGAAATAAATTCTACAGTTTAACATAGTGTAGAGTTTATTTATCAAAAATTCCCTGTACCCCCTTGAGAAGTTTCTAACATCCCCAGATTGGAAATCCCTAATTTAGGGGAAATGACCTGGGGGCTATAGCCTTCCTATTCCTTGGGCTAGTAATACCATTATTAACAAGCTTTTATATAGTGCTTTAAGAATTTCAAAGTGCTTTCCTTGAGAGGTATATAGGATAGGTATCATTGTCTCTAGTTTACAGATGAGAGCATTAAGGAACAGAGAAGTAAGGTGACTAGCACAAGATCAAACCCAGATTTTCTGACTTCAGATCTATGCTTTTTATCTGCAATCATAGTTGCCTGGAGAAGCCTGGCTTTCTAGAGGAGCAGGCTGGTGAACACAATTTTAGGTACCCACAGAATGATGAAGACCCAAAGGCTTAATTGCCTGCATCTCTCAGCAAAATGACACAGTTGGTACAGATTCCTGTGTGTGGTACCAGATGTCTTTATGACTCTCTGACCAATCTTCTTGCTTGAAAGACTACTCCAGGGACAAACAAGTATTTGTTTTGCTTTTTTAAAACCTTAGCAAAGAGAATTCTAGAAGTACAGACACTACCGAAAAGTCTTTCCGTCCATATCTGGCCACTGGACCCAGATGCTCCAGAAGAGAAAGTGAGGCTGGTGACTTTGCACAGCCCTCCCTCCCTTAAATCCCATTCACTTGCATGTCATGGTGTCCCCTTCCTGAGCAGCAGCAGGATCCAACCTAAATCTTCCCTGTGCCTTTTAATCTGCCTTCCCTTGGTTTTGTCTTTAGTGGACAAGGTAATTACTAATCTCCCTCTTTCCACACTCAAGCCTGGCTAAAAATCCATGCTATGGGGTTGATAACTGAGACTGTTTCATTAAGAAAATTATTTGGACTTTTAGGAACAAACTCTCCTCTTATGGAGCAAAAATTTATAAGGAATTCAGCTCTAAGGTGAATGTGGCAATCCCTGAATGTGCTCTCCCAGGGTTTCTCATCTCTGTCTGGTAGGTAGGAAAGTCAGTGGAAAGTTTCCATATGTGAAAGAAAAGGAGTGTTTTAGAACAGAGGGGTCAAACACGCAGCCCTCAAGCAGCATTGCTACCCTAGAGTGGCTGTTTCAGATTAAAGTGCAATTGGAAAATATTTAGCAAAGTAAATACAAATCCAGTAGAACATAGATAATGTTAAGACATAGTTTCTAAGTTATTACGTGGCCTGCAGGCATCCTTATGTACGTAAGGTTTAGGGGTCACTGTTTCTGTCAGAGTTTGATACCACTGTTTTAGAGTACTCTGGTTAAAGTCTCCTTCAGTTAGTAAGTCAGATCCCACTGGCTGAGACCACCAGTATGATATTGTCGAAAAGGCATAGAATTACAGAATGTTAGAGATGGAAGAGATTCTATAACATAGAACACAATGTCAATCAGAAGGGATTTTGGAACATAGAACACAACTTGTCGGTGCTTGGAAAGGACCTTAGATGTAGAACACAGAATGTGAGAGCTGGAAGGTCCCTTAGGAACCACTGAGTCCTAAACCCTAATTTTAAAGATGAGGAAATTGAGGTGCAGACGGTTCAAGGTCATGCAGCAGGTTGGTATCTGAGGCAGAACTAGAATCTAAGTTTGCTAACCCTGTCTAATTCTTTCCCCTGAAGAGGTAAGCTTCAGTTATGTAGAAGATTCACTTGTGGGGCACAGTGGATCCCCTGATGATGCCAGATAAATGGGATATGATCATGTACCCCCAGAACATGTATCTTGCTGATCTCTGTAGAGTATACCCCATTATTATCACAAAAGGTCCCTGTGTGAGCTGAGCGAGAAAAGGGCCTCTTGGGGTAGCTGCCAGTGGCCCCATTGAAAGAAAAACCCCCCACAACTGAATCATCCAGCCTGGGATAGAAAGAGAAAACAAATTACATTTCCTGGATGTTCTAGAAAATGCTGCACCCACTGGGGAGCCAATTCCCTTTGCCACTCATCTGCTGGATCTACTGCCTTGAAATGCCTTTCACCATCCGCCTGTATGAAACTGCTGCCACCATTCCCATGCCAGACTCTCAAAATAGACACGAGCTGCCTTTTAGCAGCATAGTAACAACAAGGATCAAATTGACTCTTATTTCCTATTCGAAAGGGGAATTCTTGTTAAAAAATGGTAATGGTGTATGTGCGTGCATGTTCTCTTGAGTTCCCCACACTGTCTGGTCATTCCCATTTAAAAGCTCACTAAGTGCTATGAAAATAATATTAACAACATTTGATTGATCTAAATGTCCCTGGTGAAACAAAGGAGAAGAAAGCCCACTATTCTGAAGCCAAGAGCAGCAACACCCCACTTAGCTAGATGTCAAGAGTTCCAGGAACCTATAGAACACAGCTGAACTCTTTTGCCTTTCTACTCTGGTTTTCTAGGCTCTGCCACAGTCTGGGATCCACATCTTTGCTTCCCAGCTCCATACTCATCTCACAGGGAGGAAGGTGATCACCGTCATAGCTCGAGAAGGGAGTGTGACAGAGATTGTGAATAGGGATGACCACTACAGCCCCCATTTCCAGGTATGAATGATTGTCCCACACCCTGACCTTCTCGGGGTTGGCAAAGTCACAAAAGAAGGACAGGTACTCTTTGGTTGCTCTCTCTACTTTCTAACAAGGCACCCATGATCAATGTTCTGCCATTTTGGGCTTCCCCCCTCCTTGATGGAACATTCCCCTATGCTTACCCCTAGTATTTGGGTTTTCTGTTGCTCATCATCCCTCTTTCCTACTTTAGAGACCTCCCTATTCTATAGTCTAGCCTGAATACCCTCGATATCAAATAGATAAAGTGACAAAATCATTCAGCAAACATTTATTAAGTGCTTGCCATATATAAGGAACTCTGTTGGGTGCTGGTAATGCAAACACAAAACCCAAAGTGGTCCCTGTCCTCAAGGGTCTTACATCCTATTCGGGCCCCAGCTGCTTCTATAGACCCTCTTCCTTAGAATAGTTTAAAGACCATATTTGTTCCCCTTTCTTCCTGATGCTGGAATATTGCCAGGTCTCTGGAACTTAGCTTTTAAGAATCTGTTAGTTAATTAATGGGTCCATTAAGTATTTATTAAGCACCTACTATGTACCAGGCTCTGTACTAAGCACTGCGGATACAAAGCAAGACAAAACACAGTCAGTGCTCTCCTGGGGCTCACAATCTAATAGGAGAGACACAATAAAAACAACTGTGTACAAACAAGATAAAGACAGGATAAACTGGAGATAATCAACAGAGGAAAGGCACTAGCATTAAAGTCTCTTTTAGAGGAATTAAAAAATAAAACAAGACTAAAGAGAAAAGGAGACATCAGGTCATCTTGTTTGTATCCTCCTCACCTCATATCCCTCCCTCTGACTGCCAAGTGTCTCTAGAATGAAATTTGAGAGCCTTTATAATCTAAGACCCAAGGTTTTCTTTTTTGAAAAACAATGATTATACTTTAACATTCATTTAAAAAAAATTTGACTTCCAAATTTTCTCCCTCCCTAAAGCCCCTCCCCAACTCATTGAGAAGACAAATAATAAATCAATTATGTTTGTGAAGTCATGCAAAACACATTTCCATATTTGTCGTGTTGTAAAAAAAAAGTGAAAAAGTATGCTTTGATCTGCACTCAGAGTTCATTAGTTCTCTCTCTGAAGGTGGATAGCATTTTTCATCATGAGTGCTTTGGAATTGTCTTAGATCACTATACTAGTTAGAGTAGCTAAGTCTTTCACAGTTGATCATTAATTATAATACTGATGTTACTGTGTACAATGTTCTTCTGGTTCTGTTCTCTTCACTTTGCATAAATTCATATAAGTCTTTCCAGGTTTTTCTGAAACCATCCTACATGTCATGTCTTACAGCACAACAGTATTCCATCACAATTATATACCAAAACTTATTCAACCATTCCTGGATTGATGGGTATCCCTTCAATTTCCAATTCTTTGCCACCACAAAAAGAGCTGCTATGAATATTTTTGTCTATAAAGGTCCTCTTTCTTTTTCTTTGATCTCTTTGAGATATAGACCTCATAGTGGTATTGTTAGGACAAAGGGTATGCACAATTTTATAGTCCTTTGGGCATAGTTCCAAATTGTTCTCCAAAATGGTGGTCCAAGGCTTTCTTGAACAGCTTCTTTCATCATTTTCCCTTCCCTTTTCTTCTTCTTTCTTTCCAGGAGATCCGAATGTTAAAGAAAGTCGTGTCTGTTTTCCCAGTAAGTATCAAGTGAAAAAACTAGCAATTATTGCAGCATGGCTCAGCTAAGTCAATTAAAACCTTGCTTTCCCTACATTTGCTTTCCTTTTCATTTTGTCTCATGTCCACACACTAACCATGCAGGTGGGTGTGAGTGATAAATCTCTCTATGAAAGGAGATGGGGAGGAAAAGTGGCACAGGGAGGCTGGAGTTGAAAGTCTCATCAAATACCTTAGGGTGTTGCAGTTTGACCTCAGATACCATTTTCAGACTGTCTGAGTTACACCTGTTAATGGGTGGGTACTGTAGCTTGACTCTGTAGAGATCTTTCACTTACTACCCATATATTAAGTGATAAGATGTACAATAATAGAATCCTAGATTTGTATAGCTATAAGGGATCTTAGAACATAGAATGTTAGATTATCGAATATTGGAGCTGGAAGGGACCTCAGCAAATAGAATGTAAAACAAAGATAGAATGTTAGAGTTGGTTAGAATTTTAGAAGTAAAGAATGTTAATCATCAAACATAGAGGGTTAGAGTTAGAAGCGGCTTTAGAACATGGAATGTAAGAGCTGGAAAAACACCTTAAAATATTGCATGTTATAACATGGTTTTGTCCTCTATAGAATGAGGACATTGGACTCAGATGGTCTCTGAGGCCACCTTCACCTCCAAGATTCTATGGTTTGAGACTGTGACTGGGGAAATGACTTGTCCAAAGTTATCCAACTAGTCAGTGGCAGAGTTGTGTGATCCAGGTCTCTTGACTCAGTCCAAAGCTCTATTTACCACATCATTTGTTGGTGGGTGCCCATTATTTTTAGATTATTGAGGAAGTTGTGTTCGTCATATCCTGCCCACATGCATCAGCCCAAGGACATATGTGTTAATGAGTATGACTGTTTGCTTGGTTACACAGGGTGATGTGCTTATTACTTCTTGCACATACAACACGGAATCCAGAAAGCTGGCAACTGTGGTGAGTTAACACGAATTAGATCTCTGTCTTTTCCCCCTTTCTCTGTCGCTCTCTGCCTCTCTCTTCTCTCCCTTTCTCTGTCTCTGTCTCTTTCTCTCTGTCTCAGTCTCACTATCTCTGTCTCGGTCTCTCTCTTTCAGTCTTTGTTTCTCTGTCTCTCTCTTTCTCCTCAACTTGGGAAACTTCACCACATTTAACAAAATACTTAATGACCCAAAGTCTTGACTAAATCTCTGATTGTTTCATATGTCTGAGTGTAGTCTTCCCAACTCATGTCTGAGTTACTCGAGGGAAGACTTCTGTCTTTTTCTGATCATGTTGTCCTTCAAAATGCCTGGCAGGAGAAAGGGAATTTTGTTGCCCTGAAATCTTTATGTCCTTGAGGTTAGTCTGAGCCATAGAACCACTGTTAGGACTGTAAATGACCTTTGTGACCATTTCACAATCTTCCTGTAAATGAGATTTCTAACTTAAAAAGTTGAGATAAAATACCTGCTCTGTCTGCCTCACAGGGTTGTTTTTGAAGACCAAATGAAATAAGATTTATGAAACTGCTTTGAAAATCTAAGATTACCATGCACACATATGGGGTTATAATTATTAGTCTTTTTTTTTTAACCTTCCAGGGTGGGTTTAGCATCACAGAAGAAATGTGTGTAAATTACATACACTACTACCCGCAGACACAGTTGGAATTATGTAAGAGTGCTGTGGACCCTGGCTACTTACAGAAATATTTTCACTTTGTTAACAGGTAACTCTTCCTCCTCCACCCTCCCCACTCCAATAAGAATGTTCATTACACATTAGAATGTATTCTAATTTGTCTGAATTTCACCCTAATATGATAGCTAACAAATCTTCATTGTCCAGTGGTGGGGGTGGAACTATTCAAACATGCATGCATACACACTGCCTGCCCATTTCATAGATGCAGAAAGTTGAGAAAGGCAGGGCAAGTGACTGCCTGAGAGAGCAGAGTGGGTTGCCAAAAACCAAAAAAAAAAAATGCTTACTCAAGGTGGGAATTTGTGGTGGTTGGGGGCAGAGCACACTTATCTCCCCTCTTTGATATCATCTGTTAAGTTAACACTACATAAGTGAACTTACAATTCTGTTCAGATTCAGAGTGGGCATTTAAAGGGGCAGTCAGCCAAGGACTTCAGCATAGAGAGGAGCTGGGTGGCTCAAATGGAAACATTTATTTATGGAGAAACGTGTGGACTATTACTATTCTAATTAGAATTTACCTTGCACGGTCACATACATCATCTTTGTTGGTCCTCCCAATACCCCTGGGAGGGAATCAGAATAGGATATTCCCACCTCCACTTCTCCCCACCCTACATGAGGAAACAGGTTCAGAAAAGTTGAATAACTTGCTTCAAATCACACAGCTAAAAAGAGCAGCATCAGGACTCAAAACCAGCTTTTCTGACTCTTAGAGGGTTCTTCCCACTATGCCATTTGCTCTGGGAATAATAAAAAAAGACACTCCATCTTGGGAGAGCCACTTCATGAAAAAGGATTCATTGTTGTTATTCAATTATTTCAGTCACGTCTAACTTTTCATTCTGGAATGGTTTGCCATTTCCTTCTCCAATTCATTGTTTACAGCTGAGGAAAGTGAGGCAAACAGAGGTTAAGTGACTTGCCTAGGGTCACACAAGCTAGTAAGTACTTGAGGCTGGATTTGAACTCAGGTCTTCCTGACTCCAAGCCCAGTGCTCTCTCCACGGCACCGCCTAGCTGCCCTAGGATTCAGTGTAGCTATTTCTGAGTCATCTCTGACTTTGATCAAAGACACTCGGCAAAGCCTTACCCCCATTTTCAATGGCTTTATTCTGCGAGGCAAGATTAGGTAGCTATTTCCACTTCTCCCTGTTGGGAAGAGGAATCCAAATGTTGCAATGTGTTCTTCCATTTGACGGCGATTTCTTCCCCTCCCTCCTCCCAGGTTTAACAATGAAGATATCTGTACCTGCCCCAAATCTACTGTCCAAGAGCAATTTGCTTCCATCCCTTGGAACTCATTCAACCGGGATGTGCTCAAGTCCCTGTATGACTTTGCCCCGATCTCCATGCACTGCAACAAATCCTCGGCAGTCCGGTTTCCAGTAAGTCTCTAAAAGGGTGGGTTCCAAATGGAGTAAGGTAGATAAACCTCAGAAAAGTCCATTCTTTAGCTTAGTCCTTAATCCAAGAGTGAGAAAAGGGCATTGACAAGAAAGGGCACTGCTCTGTCCAATCATCTGAGAAATTATACTCAAGAGAAACAGACTCTTAAAAGGAAGGAGCTGGTAGAAGATGAAAAAGTAGGCTGAAAAGCATATGAATTCTCACTTCGCCAGTCCTAGGGAACGGCAATTGGTGTAGGCAGGCTTTGGTTTGCATGCACAGTCTGAAGAGGACAATATGTTAGGGACAACAGCCATGGTGAGACTGGGAAATGTAGGTAGGGGAGAGGAATACCCTGTCCCCTTAAAATCCTGGCATTAATTGATAACCAAGACTTCTAAAGAAGTCCTCCTCTCCCTCCCACTCCTGCAAAACTAAGAACCCCACAAGGACTTGTCTTGGGGACTTGAGATGGGTCTCTAGGCCATGATCAATACTTGCTAGCCAATGTTTGTCTGTCCTTGTACTTCACAGATAGTCCAGTATTATGAGTGCTGTCATAAAGCACTTTGTTTTCAATGTTATGAAAAGCACATTGTCAGTCTTAAAGTGCTATGTAAGTGTGAGGTAGGGTTGTAGAGTAGATAGATAGCCTTTGAGTCAAGAAGACCTGGGTTGGAGTCTTTCCTCTGCCGCATTCTGGCTGGGAGCCAAGTCATTTAACTTCTCAGTGCAACTCACTAGAATTATAAATTATAGAGCTGATGCCAGTCTTCATTGGTAGAGGGAATAGCTTCATGGAGAGTTCCTTATGCCAGTAGAAACACAAGTCTGGTCCAAAAAAAGAAAGAGTTGTTGTAGACTCATTCACCACTGGAAGTAGAGGAAATACTAGAGCTGGACAGTTCTTCTATTTGACAAATTTGGAGATTGAGGCCCGGAGAGGAACTTCCTAAACAACATTCCCTTTGCCTAGGATGTCCCCCATGCCTAGAACATACTCTCCTCCCCTCTGCTTCTAAGAATCCACAACTTCCTTAGAGAACTGGCTTGAATGTCACCTCCTGCATGAAGTTCATCCTGGTCTGCTCTGGTTACTAGTGCCCCTCACACAGAAATTATGCTGTCTGTATTTTGCATTTATTTATCTGTGTTTGTGTTGTTTCGCCCACTAGAATGTCAGTTCCTTGAGGGCAAGGACTGTTTTGTCTTTGCCCTGGTAACCCTAGTGTACTAGAGGACAGTGCCTGGAACACAGTAAATGCTTAGTAAATGCTTGTTGAATTGGGCAAATAACTTGTCTGAGGTCACACAGGAAGGGAGTGGCCTGGGTGCAATCTAGAACCTTCTTTCGTGAAGACTAAACCTTACCTGGTGTAACAAACATAGTTCAGCTTTCCCAGCACTTGGTTGATGGCCCTTAATCCATCTCCTCGAGTTCTAAGATCTCGTAATTCTAAGCAATTGTTCTCTATTCACATTTTATCAAGATAAAAGCAGGGGGAAAAAAGATGAAAAAAGATAAAAGCAGGAATTAGAGGCATTAGAGGGGTATGCATGAAGGGCAAGAAGTTCTGATCCCATACTTCTTGATAAATCTAAGCCACAAAATTTCAAGTCTCAAAGGGCTGTATGGAAACTATTTCACTTCCCTTGAAAGCATGATGCATCCTCTAGCTACTGTTTTCAATTCACGTTAACAAACATTTATCATGTGCCACCTCCACTTTGTACCTATCCAGTGCTGGTCACCACGGAGCACTCAGCAAAAACGTGAAATAAGGATTCTGTCCTAAGGGTCTACGTGGATGACTCGGATGAAACAATAAGAAAGTTGTATCCAGATGAATCTAATTAAGTACAAAAGAATATGCTACAGGGGGGTGGAAGTGAAGCTTAATATTGTCCCTAGGGAAGGAGATGCTACAGTCTCCCCTGTTCACGTTTTCTCGTGTCTCACAACCCACAACAACTCAAAATCATCACCAGTTCCTAAGAAACTCATATGGTATGAGCTGAGCTCCTAAACACTTCCCTCAGAGACTAAAAATAAGGATGGGGAGTGGGGGAAGGGGGGAGGGAGGAGGGAGAAGGAAGAAGGAAAAACTTCTGAAAGTGGATGCCTTAGTTTGCTTCCCTCCCCACCCTCACCCCCCAGCCATTGGAGACCAAATGAGATTTAGAGACATTTAATTTGTTCACCAGCCAAATCCCAATCCAGCCTGTCAAGAAAACGGAGCTTGGTTCTTATTAGTCACATAGATTTTTATAGCCTGGAGATTCTAAAGCCTGCTGCTTTCCCTGAAGCATTCTGTGAGCTCAGCTATTTAATGCTAAATCCAAAGTTTCCAGCTTGGAGGGATTGCTTTTGTGCTGGACAGCCTCGGGTGACCTGTGCTGATGTCAGATGCTGGGGAGGATGAGGAACTTAATGTCAGGATGGGGGAGGCTGCTAAAAAAGGGACGCATTTACTGGGGGTGAGCTTATTCCAAACATTGCAGCTGAACTTGTGTTTTGTAGTGGAAAGAGACTGGGAGACAGGAGTCCAGGCTCCGACACTAAGGGACTGTGTAAGCTTGGATGTCTCCCTCTTTGGACCGCACCTTCTTCATTTGTCCTGGCATGAAAGACATGATCCGAATTTGGTTCAATTCAACACATATTTTTAAAGTTCCTAAGACAGAAGGAGATTGATGCTATAGACAAAGACCATTAGCTTGCTTGAAGAGAGCCCTTGGAGGCTTGCAAAAATTAAGCAATAGAATCAGAAAACATCAGAGTTGAAAGAGACTAGAATACAAAATGGCAGAAATAGAAAGGGCCATAGAATGCAGAATGTTAGAGATAGAAGATACCTTCGAGATCTTGTTACCCAATCCATCCATTTTGTAGAGAAAGAAACTGAGACCCATAAAGATGAAGTGAATTAGTGATAGCACTCTTTGGTCAGTGTTCTTTTCACTGTATACTCTTTCTCAAATCCAATCCCAAGATTCATAGGGGAATTCCTCAAGAGCATCCCAGTAAACCCACTGAATTAAATGAACTGGTGAGACAATGTCTTACCCGTTTATTTCCCTGGGTCTCATTTTTTTTTCTCTTTCTCTTCAGGGTGAATGGGAAAGGCAGCCTTTACCAGAGATCAAGATTGGACTAGAAGAGGTTACTCCACGATGCCAGGCCTCTTCAGGACTACCACCTGCTTCCCCTGCACTGGTCAACATTGATGGGAAAAAAGGCTAGGGGACAATCCTTCCCCTCTTGGCTTGGTCCAACTCTTTCCTGAATTGCTTACCTCTGAGCCAAAGAAAACACAGACCCTGCCCTCTTTGGTTACCCTTGCCCACCCTTGGTACATGGCCTAATGCTGATCTTATAGCTAGTTTCCTCCCCTAGCTCAGAACAGAACTGAGAACCTCCCAGAGACACATTCCATCTAGTAAGATGCTCCTTGAGGTTTGGAAGACAGCTGCCTTATGCATGTAAAATTAGCCCTTCGGGAAACCTTCACTGACTGAAGTAACCATGAGCTGAAATGGAAATACTTCCAAGCAATGCTGAATGTATATGGAGCATCTCTAAGCCAGTACTCCATGGTTCTCTGCTTCTAGAGCTTTCCTTGGGGCATGAGACAGACCACCACCCAAGTCCTTTGCATTTTGACCCTGATTGCTCCATATGCAAGACCCTTTGTCTTAGCTGCCTCAGGAGTTTATCCATCAGAGTGCCCCAGGGGGTGAGTCCTAGTGCTAACTTATCTTCTAAGAAGGCAATCTTCCTTATCCTCCCATTGACTGTGATCTCTGTTGATGTGTCCTAATGTCAAGAGATGGATACAAGCATTACTTAAATATTTTCTCTCTGAATGGCTGATTTATGGTAGTAGGTTTTTTTCCCCCAACAAAGGCAAGACAAGGCATTTAACCAGTTAGAGATTTCCCATGCCAAATTGCTCTGATGCAAAGATAAATCCACATTTTCACCCAGTTAAAAAAAGAAACCCTAACACTACCACCTACCAGAAACCCACAGGAAAAGACCCAAGATCAAAACTAAAGGCAAACTGTTAGGGGAAAATGATGAATATTGGCTTCCTTCCCTTCTTCCACATTCTAGAGTCAGCTTCCAAACAGTGGAGAAAAGTGAGAAAAGAAGGTTTTGGTTAACAAGGAGGTTATTTGTCCCCTATGTGGTATTAGTTGTACATATAACATCAGGTAGAGCCTTCCCTTTTCTCCATTGAGAGGCTAGCCAACCTTCTGCTGATGAAGCTAGTAGGAGGAAAAACAAAACATTGAGCAAATTCCATTGGTTTATATTCCAATTTCTAATGAACACCAGGTGTCCTTGTCCCATGAAGCCTCCTTTCACCCCCATTTAAGCTGATAAAGATAGGAAGTACGCCAGTGATTTAACTCATATAGGGAACCCCTAGATGAGTAAACTCAGTTTACCAATGCAAGCAAATGCCTTCTCTGAAACTTATATATCCCTAGAGAGCTGCCTAGAGCATTGGGATATTAAGTGACCTGAACTGAGTCTCACAGCTAGTAGCCTTCAGAGGCAGGATCTGAAGTCAGGTACTGCTCTATCCAACTCCCTATTTATGCTGCCTCTTGGATGTAATTACTAACTGGTCCCTAATTTGTGTTTAGAAAAAGGACCGACATTCAGGCAATGATTCCCCAGATCTCTGGAAGAAAAAATCTTAGTCCATGGACCCTGAAAACACAAAGGTGAAGCCAGCCTGTTCATGGTATACTCATGTGGACAGTTCCTCATAGGAGAAGGAAATGTCTCAGAGACTCATAATATCTCCCTGCCTTGGACTCAAGAGCCTCCTCTCCCCACCCCCTAGCACTAAACATAGATTAGTCTCATTCAATTAAGTTCAACACTTACTGAGCAGATGATGTGCTCAGTTCAAGGGGCTGACTTTGTTCTGTTTTGTTTTTGTTTTTCCCATCCTTGATTAACAAAAATTCATCTATTTGGTGATGCCAAATGATTCCCACTTCACCAGCAGGGATTGAGGTTGTGTGTTGGGGAGGGTGAGATTGGGGAGTAAGATTTTGTCATGGGCTAGGGGCACCTTTGTCCATCCTTCCTTTGAAACCAGTGTACCCGGCTTCCAGTGGGAGCTGAACATCCAGCTCTGTCAGGCCAGGGCTAGAGAATGTCCTGTCACTGCACAGGGAGTGAGCAGATGATGGATGGAGCCTCGACACAGCCCCATGAGCCTGCCGAACATCTCTGCCTCAGTGCCACACTTCATTACAGACTGTAATGAACGGCTGGGAGATGATCTGCTTGCCACTTTATAAATCAGGGCTTCACGCAGCTCGTAGATCACAAGGAATCATTGCTGGAAAATGCCAGACCCCAGCATGGAGACGGAAGGCAGGCTTAGCTCTTAGATCATCTTTACAGCAGTGGGATGACACCCGGATCTGGACCATGCAGGGGAAGTGCAGGCACCCAGTCCTTAGGCAGAGCCCAGCCACTGACCAGGCTGAAACCTAAGTAAATTCCCTTGGAAGTAAAGGCCTAGTAATTCTTCCTTAATGCCTTTACCCACTTATTCCAGGCTTCTTCAGTCCCCACCCCATCCCATTACAATAAGGGTCCCTTAAAAAAAAACCAACCAGCTCCTGAGTCTCAAAGAAGAGAAAAATTCTGTTTAGTTAGGCAGGAAAATCAATGTCTTAAGAATACTCTCAAGAAGAAGAAACCTTTAGAATCCTCTGTTAAGACATTATTTGCCTTTTATCCTTTCAGAATTATCTTGTCCTGGGTGGGAAGCCTGTGCCAAGCTATGGATGTGTCATCTTTGACATGTCACTTTTAACATTCTGCCTGGCCATATAATGGTCATTGCCTATGAAATGGGTTGCCATTTTTGCCCATGTCTTCCAAGTCATATGTAAACCAGCAGCTTGTCCATTGCTTTTGCTATAGTGTGGTCGAGAGATCCAGGGATCAGGAGGAGCTGGGTTCTAATCCCAGCTCCATCACAAACTTCCCCTGTGATCCTGGGCACACCTCCCTGGGCCCTAGTTTCCTTATCAGCTCAATAACAATGCTGCTTAGCAGTGCAGTGGTGGCATGTGCTGACAGATCCTGCTAAATATTTCCCTTCCGCTTGTTCCATTTCAGAGGAAGCATTAAGAGCTGATGCTGCAAGTGGCATTGAGTCCAGAAGAGTCTGCATGAAGAAGACAGTCACTTCTCAGCATTTTGAGCTATAAGCCACTGATTCCCCTTTGAAAGCAAAGATGACATTATCTTAGCAGGCATACAGCTAATCTTTGGCTCTGGATTTAAACTGTACAGACAGAGGCATACACATCAATCAGTCTTCCTATTTATAACAGCAGAGGAGAAGGCTTGTTGCTAAACAGAGTAGACCTGAGATGTAAATTATGAAAAGGGCAAATTCGCCTGAAGTCATAGATTTGAGAGGTGAAATAGGTCTTTGGCAACTGAGTCCAACCACCTCATTTTACAGATGTGGGAATGGGACCATAAGAAGTTAAATGACTTGCCCGGGGTCCCACAATCTAAGATCAGATTTCCCAAGTCTTTTATTCTATCCATTGGTCCATACTGTCTCTCCAGAAATGAGTAATAAGACTGTTAGGGAGTGAGAAGAAATGGGGAAACATATAGAGACAGAGGGCAGAGAAATTTCATCCCTTTGTGCCTTCTATAAATATCCTGATCAGAGCTTTTCCTGTTTTACCTAGACATCAGGCATCTCCAAGGATTGTTTCAGAGGTTCAACTTTTTGTTGCTCCATTAGGCTCATAGGATAACCATTTTAGAGCCAGATTTGCCTATGATTGGTTGTTGTTGTTCATTTGTTTCAGTCGTGTCTGACAATTTGTGACCCCATTTGGGGTTTTCTTGGCAAAGATACTGGAGTGGTTTGTCATTTCCTTCTCCAGCTCCTTTTACAGATGAGGAAACTGAAGCAAACAGGGTTAAGTGACTCGCCCAGGGTCACACAACTAGTAAGTATCTGAGGCCAGATTTGAACTCAGAAAGATGGCACTCTATCCACTGAGCCATCTAGCTGTCCCCTAAATTAGTGTCTAAGGCAGAAGTCAAGACTGGGCCCTCTGAATCCAAAATCATGATTCCAGTCTATGATTCCAAGAGAAGAATCATAGGGGCAGCTAGGTGGTGCAGTGGATAGAGCACCGGCCCTGGATTCAGGAGGACCTGAGTTCAAATCCGGCCTCAGCCACATAGCACTTACTAGCTGTGTGACCCTGGGCAAGTCACTTAACCCTATTGCCTAGCCTTCCCCCCCCCAAAAAAAAAGCAAGAGAAGAATCATAGGATTTAATTAGAGCTGGCCAACATTTAGTCTACTTCCCACTTTTTCCAACTGAGGAAATTAACACTGAGAGAAAGTGACTTGCCCAGGTAGTATATATATGTAGAAGAGCCAGTATTTGAACCCAGGTCCTCCAACTCCAAATTCAGTGCTGTAGCCACCATACTAATACTACTCAAAGAGAAGTTACATAAACATGGGGACTATTGTCCTGAGGGAGGCTATGGGCTCTCTAACCCAGGGAGACTTTTAAGAATGAGGCAAACAGCCTTGTTCCAAGTTTAATTACATCATAGCACTGCCTGGAGGTCTCTTCTAGTGAGAGATTCAGTCACTAGTCATTTAGATAACCCTATTTCTGAAGCTCTGACTTTGGTTCTCATTTCCATCTTGCCTTCCTACATTGTTCTTCTTTGGGGTGGAGTATATCAATCAATTAACCAATCAATAAACATTTATTAAGTGCCTATTATGTGTCTGGCACTGTGCTGAGCACTGGTGACACAAAAAGAAGCAAAAGACTGTCCCTGCCCTCAAGGAGCTTACAATCCAATAAGGGAGACAACGCAGAAACAAATGTGCATGAACAAGCTCTACGGAGGATGAATAGGAAACAATTGACAGAGAGAAGACACTAGAATTAAGGGGGGTTAGGGAACACTTCCTGTAGAAGGTGGGATTTTAATTGGTACTCAAAGGAAGCCAGGGAAGTCAGTAGTTAGAATTAAAGTGGGAGAGCATTTCAGGCATGAGGGGCAGCCAGAGAACTGCCCAGAGCCGAGAGGTGGAGTGTCTTATTTGTGGAGTGCCTGGGAATAAGATGTAAGGAGACCAGAAATACAGGAGGGGACTAGTGTATGAACAGCTTTGGATGCCAAACAGGGCATTTTGTATTTGATTATGGAGGCAAAAGGAAGCCACTGGAGTTAACTGAGTGGGTGTGTGTGTGTGTGTGTGTGTGTGTGTGTGTGTGTGTGTGTGTGAGACATGATTGAACCTGCATTTTAGGAAAATCACTTTAGTGGCTGAATGGAGGATGGATTGGAGTGGGGAGAGACTTGAGGGAGGCAGACCCACCAGCAGGCTATGGCTGTAGTCCAGGTGAGGTGATGAGGGCCGGTACCATGAGGAACTAGTGTCAGAGGAGAGAAGGGGACATATAGATGCCACAAAGGTGAAATCAGGCAACAGATTCAATATGGGGTCTGGGGAATGTGTGAGAGTTAGTGAGGAATCCAGGATGATTAGCTTAGCTTGGGAGCCTAGGTTGCAAGTATGTACTTTATGATTTTAAACTGAAGGCATTTTAATTTTTCTCTCTCTCTTTCCCTTCATCCTTTGAAACAAAACAATCTTGAAAGGAAGCAGCTTCTGTTAAAAGAGAGGTAGAGTTATTTAGGTCTGAGCAGTTGCTAGGAAATCTATTCCAGGCAATCACCACTGCAGGAAAGGAGCCCCCAACTTTATTCCAGAAAGAACTGGGTTTTCAAAATGTGTGGAGAAGGGCAATTACAGATATAAACACTGG